TGCTTAATCACCTCAACTCCAACTGGCCAGAGAGTTGTCGCCAAGTGCAGCTCCGTGTAAACCATCGGCCGTTCATCTAATCAATAGCACACGTGCGTCCAGTCATCAGAGCGCTCAGACCTCGGGGGCTTCGAAGATTCCTGAGGGGGCTAGCAAGTCCAGCCGCTCTCTAAGCTACCGGCGTATGAGATTCAAGGCGGGAAGACGGGACAGGAGAAGGCAACCTCGTGTCCGGAGTTAGTCGTCGGACATGACTGGAGGCACGCATAATCTCGGCGAGTCATAGATTACCATTGCCAAGGAAGTGAGCTAATCTAGTAAAGGTTGTTTTTGTTGTCCTAGATATCTACAGATAGCGTCGATGACATCGCAGCCTCTCGAGTCTCAGCCAAAGACCTCTGGGTGTCTCGGCAAACTAGACTGGAGAGCTCATCTCTATTCTGTCCGCAGCGCACGAGTCTGCCTTGGCCACCTGGTAATAGGCTCTCGGTGGTCCTTCATTATTGATTGGTGACTGACTAATTCCCCGATCTAGTTGTGGGCCTTGTACCATCTATGGCTGCAGTCATTTCCCCTCCCACGCGTTGTTAATGATGACAGAGTAGCTTCACTCAGCCATCCCATCTAGTTTTGATTTCCTTTTCGTATTCCACGCAGACTGGAACGAACCATTATCTCAGTGTGTACTTACATTATATGACGATCGAACTGCATCGAAATGATGGGATGCGATCAGCGGTCTGTCTACTTTGACGACGAGAAACCACCTATGAAGAGTCACCACATGATGATTCAGAATGAATAAGTCAGTTCAAGTAAACCACAGGTATGTATCATCTTCTGAAAGGGAGCTGCTCTGACATGTCTGAAAGTCAATGACAGTGCTTATGGTGACATTGCTGTATCCGCCTTACGTTTAAGTACTTAGGCAAATGGCGATATGCCTAAATTACGGGCGACATTTTCTATATCATAAGTAAAGAGTGGACTGAGATCACTATCTAATAGCTAGCAGTTTGGATGACAATCATGAAAGAAAAATGTGAGATGTTGGTCGACAGATTCGCACCACAAATCAAAATCATGCGGAAAGCGCCAAACTCCATTTAGAAACCAAGGAATAATGAAATTGACAAGAAAAGGAATCATCCCTCGGCGCTTCCAACGAGTCAATCGCTCAAGAGTCCCAAATAGCGCCGTAAGCCGGAACACCTCTAGTTTCAAGGCCATAAACAACCTTCTTCGTGATCTTTTCGTTCGCAATGATAATGACAGCTTCGGCGTTGAAGCTCTGAACAAGGTTGTATCCCATCTTCACCAGATCCGGACGACCCGATATCTTGGTGTCGTGAATCACTGCATTGGGGATCTTTTTCTTGATGGCGTCGAGCAAAGGCTTGCCAAACGTCTGCTCGGGCTTTGGTGTGGACCAGATCAACTGCGTCGCGCAGCTTGGCTGTTGAATGTGGCCAAGAAGAGGCCCAATGCCGGATCCAGTGGCAATAACCACGACGCGGTTGAAGCAAGTCGCGATGCGCATGACACCACAGGTCGGGACACCACGAACCCATATGTGGGTGGGGGGCTTCTGGATGCAATTTTTGGTCCAATCGCCAGCGTTGGAAACAACCAAAGAGAAACCCTTCTCGCGATGCTCGACCTTCTCAGGGGCCGGAATCGTGGCGAACGAGTGCCATTCTAGAAGAGGCCTTTGAGAGAGTCTGACGAAGCTGCCGTTGACGGGGACCGTGTAGTCAAAATGCAGTCTCACTGCGTGGTCGGAAAGCACCTCAGCTTCGACAGGAACTTTCTTGAGGAACAACCAAGAGGAGGCGATGCTCATCGTGGCGACCGCCAGCATCCAGAAGCCGGGAGTTCGAATGCATGCGTCGCCCAGGGACATCTCCGCGACCTTGCTGTCGTTCGCGCCGAGGACAACCTGGACCCAGAACAGCCCCAGCATGGTCCATCCGACGAAACGATGGGTCTTCTCGAAGAGGTCGTGATGGGTCTTACGGAACCCGGGCCAAGCGAGACCGATAGTGATGGTGAACAAACCCGTAAGAAGCCAAGACACGACCTTTGAAGCCATAGACTGGTGGCCCCAATTAGGGCACTCTGTCAGCTGGCAGACCTCATCGCTGATGTTGGAAGCCAAAAGCCAAGCTCCGGCAGAAACAGCAGCGCCTGAGTGAACACCGCCAAAGTGGAAAATCCTGGCGCAGCGCTTCCTGATGGCGAGGGGCCAGGACTTTGGCACGTTGCAGGTGATTGTGTAAAGCGCGTTGATGACAAAGTCCTGACGGGCGAGGACTGCGACGACCAGGTTGATGGCTGTGAGAGTGCTGAGCCAGTTGCGCTGGAACCCGGCAAAGACGAGTGCGATGACGGCCGCGATGTTGAAGAGACCCACGATTGTGAAGAGACGGCGGTAAACGATGGCGATCCGGTGAACGAAGCCGCGGTAGGGACGGCCGAGGTTCTTTTCGGGGATGTCGCCGGTGAGGTCGAGCTTCTCGTCTGTCTCGGTGAAGCTGGAAGCGGAGGATTCGGCCTTGAGGTCCGTGGTGGTGGAGTTGCTGTCCGTAGACAGGGACTCCTTTGAGGCGGTCTCCCTGATGGTGACATCGGCGACTTCCTTCTTGTCGGTATTGCCAGTCTCGGTGACCATGTCTTGAAGTGCACGCTTGTCGACTTTGCCATTTGCAGTCAGAGGAAGGGCATCAAGGAAGTGGAACTTGGTCGGGATGGCGTAGTAAGGTTGACGAGCCCTGACGTGGGCTTGTATCGTGTCGAGATCGCAGTCCTTGGGTGCGACAAATCCGTGGATCTCATTGCTGATGAACAACGCGTTGGCCTTTGAGACGATGGGACAAGAGCTGATTGAAGAGGTAACTCCGTCAAGCTCAACCCGGAACCCCTGCAAAGGATGTGTTAGAAAGCCCTTTGTATGTGTGAGTTTGGAGATGCGACTTACTTTAATCTTGATCTGGTCATCGACTCTTCCAAGGATGTCAATGGAGCCGTCCGATCTCCAGCGACCGAGGTCACCAGTGTTGTACATCATAGACCTACAAGTGTGTTAACCGGTAGATCTGAATAACACGATGGATTGTACTCACCCGTCATTAGCAAAAGGGTCCAGCTTGTATCTCTCAGCAGTCTTCTCGGGCAGAGAGACATAACCCCGAGAGATTCCGTGGCCACCGGCCCACATAACTCCGGCTTCTCCAACACCGAGAGAGTTGCCCTGCGCGTCAAGGACGTAGACAGTGTTGTTTGGTGTAGGCTTTCCGATTGTCAGAGCTTCACCCGGGCGGTGAAGATGCATAGTGTTGACAATGGTAGTCTCCGTAGGTCCACAGCAGTTGTAGTAGGTTGCGTGAGTGGCCCAGAGGTCGGCGAGCCTATCAATCTCATCGTCAGTATAACTCACTTTAGAAGTGCAATGGAATTCTCACCTCTGAGAGCTGGGTTCACCTGCCGTCGCAGCAACTCTGATGTTGGAGTACTCCCGAGGATCATACTTGGCCAAAATGCTTGGTGTGCAAATTAAGACTTGAGTCTGTGGGTTATGTTAGTCTTGTCTTGCTGGATGCTAGGTCTTGGTTATCTCACCTCTCTCAGACACGGCTCCCACTTTGAGCCTCTCAAGACGAGAGTTCCTCCGTTGCAGAGACATCCCAGCATCTCCCATGCAGCTACCATATACTTAATCAGCATCAGCGATTATGGTGTTAGTAACTAAGACTTACCCATATCAAAGCTGATGTTCAACACCTGACCCACCCGCGTTCCAGGTGAGATACCCAGGCCACCAGGTGAAAGGCACACGAGGTTAGTCACATTTTTGTGGGTGACATCCACTCCTTTGGGAGTACCCGTAGTTCCTACAGGGCCAAAGGGTTAGCTCAACTGCCTTCTAAGATATAAATGGACGATGACATGTTCGCTTACCCGAGGTGTAGATGACGTAGCAGCCATGGTCTGGTTGGGCCAGGTCCTGGATAGGGTAGGATTGCGAAACCTCCTTATCTTTCTCCGAATCTTCATCAATGACAAAGGTCTCGCAGGGAACACCGAGAGTGTCGAATCGATGCTTCGTCGACTTGAGACATAAAACGTGCTTGCCGCCCGCCTGTTCCAAAACAAATCGTAGTGTAGAGTCTGGCACCACACCGCCATCGAGAGGAACGTACTGAGCACCACAAGAGAGAATCGCAACTATACCAACCAGCATGTCAATGCCTCGCTTTACGACTAGCGGCACTCTATCTCCAGGCTTGACCCCGAGTGTGGTCAGTTTCCTTGATAACTGGTTGGCTCGAGTAGCAAGATCACCGTAGGTGATCTCACGAATTTGCTGCGACGACAAGTCACGCCCTGCAGTGACATCAGGATGAGTCTCTGCATGATGATAGAATGCGGCCGTAACAGTGGGATAGGTGGACTTGATTCGTTCGCCTTGGGTAAAGGATAGAGGGGCTGGCCCAACCGGAGTTGACGCCGAGTCTTGAACGATAGTGTTCTGCATGGCTGCGGGACTAAAATAGACTGGAGGAGGGAACTGGCAAGGATAAATTCCAAATGAGAGCCAAATAAAGACCAGACTATTCCAAATCCTAATAGATCTGAAGGAGTAAATGCTCCTGTTGCTTGTCGACTCGTCACCATGTTGGCGAGCGCTCGAGACTTTAAATATCTTCGCCAGCCTCCTTTGGAGCCCCTCGACAACCTCGACCCCCAATACCCTGACAACGCAAGTCCTCATCCTCCTTCCTGGACCGGACGCAAGAGGAAAATCTCTCACCATCACGTACATCCGTGTTGAGTTGCATCACACCCAAGGTCATCCACCGGGGTTGTTGCGTGAATCCTCCCACTGATGGCCAGCAGACATCTTCGAACTCCACCCGAGCTACATCGAGAGGTTCGGACTGACACATCAAGATTCTCCTTCCGCGTTGAGAAGACCTCGCAGCCATCTCAAGAAAGAAACCATGTCCTTGTCAGGACTGCGGGTGAACTTGACCGCTGGCTCTCAAACAGGAAAGTTGTCGGGGCCGACGTGCGCGCATACATCCCTTCATCCATCCATCCATCTCATCACATCCAAACATCGATAACATCCTCTTCAAGGTGTATCAACCAAGGTGGCAGAGTCCTGCAACGTGCTGCAAGGCCCCACCTCGCAACTCGTGGGACCTAGCTTCTAGGTGTGGTGCTTCATGCAAGCACTTTCAACCTAGTTGCAAGTTAACGCGTTAATCTTTACAAACAAGTCCAAGTCCACAAATGACATCGGTCTAACGCCCACGGCCCGGCCTGGGGAGTGGGCCCTCGACTGCCGGTGGGCGGGGTGGAACTTGGTTGTCACGATTAACTAACTACCTTCTCGGCCGAGCTTAGGAACATCTGGCCGCCGGAATACGAGACCGTAAACGAAAGCAACGCAGCGTTTCATCGCCTGCTGGCTACCGACATAAAGGCACTAATCACTGATCAATGATCACTGATCGTCCACTCAGTCGCGAGCAACGAGTTTTGGGGCCTGATTGCCTTCTGCGGCGCAGCGGGGAGCTCGGGATCGACTCGGAGGATCGACGAGGCTTCAAGGATCATGTCCTTGGAAAACGAGACCACAAGAAACGGCTCCAGACTTTCTCCAGCTGAGGCCTTGTGACCGACGAAGCTGCTCTTGTCCCTTCTCCCAGGTCCAGTCTTTGCGCAAAAGGCTCTGGCGACGGGCTAGGCTTCATCAGTGAGTGGAGGGAGGATCCAGCCCCCAGAAAGTCCAGATCGAGATGGCTCCAGGATGGCTGCGACGCAATCTAATCAATCTCTACGAGTGGATTCAAGTGGTGTGATTTTCTGCCCCCGCGATCCGTGGGCAGCAACTGGGCCAAGCCATGAAAGTTGGTGTTGACGCTGGCTGGCCTCTCTCTTCGAGCCGGGCCCCGGTGCAACCTATGGGGCCGGGCAACCGTGGGGGACGATTTAGACGCGGACAGGGCGATTCCGTTTGCACTGCGACGTTCCGGAACTATCCCTTGTTGAGAAGCTCTATGTGCCGATGCAACCTCACGTCACTCAACCGAACGCAACCAAACGACCTATCGAGAGGGCCCAAGAGGTGGCCAAGACGCGGGAAGCACATCATACAACCACCTCAAGACGCGGTTCCCTTCTTCGCGCCTAAATCATACAGGTCCATGTCACATGTGAGCGAGGCACAGTTGTTCAAAACCAGAACTTGGCGGCTTTTCGGGAAGCTGCTTGTGGATGACAGATGCTGATGTAAAACCGTACAGGTATCGCTCCTAACCGGTTTCTGTCAACCTTTTTGGACGCTTTCTTCTTCCATATTGCGTGGAAAGAGGTAACATTGGACTAGGCGAAAACAGCGCAAGGCGGGTGATCACATTGCAGTTGCCGCAACGAGCCATCTCCTCCGAGCCGCTGCCGCCGTCTGCATCGGAAGCCCGACCGTAGTGGGGTCACGGAGCTGGGGGTGGGCCGGGGCAACCAAGACTGGATTCCTCAAGGGTGCTGGTGTTTTGAACTTTTGAAGAGCTTCACACGCGCGCGCGCAAGATCGGGAGACATCGCAGGGCTTCGGTTGTTGGCTCGTTGGCCTACGACATTGTCCTGCACTTTATCAAGTTTTCGTCAGCATCTTCAAGGACCGTTTCCCGCGGAATTTCATTGCGATCCTGGTCTTCGGAAGCCCTGTGACGTTTACTCCGAGTCATTTTCGAACGCGCGGGATTAGTTGTGACGTCGCTTCGTCAGCTCCCCCGGTCTTGACTATAACCGATGTCGGACATTTCCTCCCTAAAGGTGGCTGGGATGTTTCTGTTGCTCCCCTATAACGCGTCAAAGGGTTGTATGGCCTGCAACCGTAGCAAAAGCCTCAATTCGCCAAGTCGGCGACATTGTCCGAGTATCAGACGGAGCAGGACCGGTCAGCGTAGGGTTCCTTGGCATGCCAGAGGACGTGTCGGACTTCGGAGCAGGATCCGCTCGAAGTTAATCGGTCGGCGATCAGATCTCAATCAGAATTGGCAACTCTAACCTGCCCATGCACACCTTGTTTGGACTTCCCATGACCTTCACGTGCTGTATAAGATAGCATCAAGTTGGTGTTTTGCCCAGTGGTCGCGGAGACCAAAATTTTGGCCCACTTGGCACGCAAAAGGACTTGAAGATCGCGCACTTGTCGGGTTCACATCAATTAACGTCATTTACGGCATGTTTGCAGTTTGAAGAACTGATCTTGTCTTACCCTCCTGCCGCATCTAGCAGCTGTTTGTCTGTGTCGTGCATAAGCCTCGGAGCTATCCGCAGTGCTACAGAACAAACTTGACAATGCTTGCATACGATGCGGAACATGTGGCAAATCATGTAGCACCCATCTTTCCCTTCACGGTACTTGAACATGGACAGCCTAGAGCTTGAAATAAAGTCCGAGGGCCTTTTGCAGATCTTCCAGAACAGGGTACGGTGCCTGACATATGTTGACACCTAACTAAAGGGGTGTAGTAGCAGATCGCTGACGGCGCTTAGCGGGTTTCAATCATATATGCATAGCTTGAGGTTGTACGGAAGCCCATGCCTTATCAAGACTCAGAATTTGTGTCATATTCGACACCAAATACGCCTTCAGATGAACAGAGGCGATATCTGAAATGGGCTTTCTGCGGCAGCACATGCTACCAAAGTAGGCAGGAACTCCCACAAACTGTACGGTTGGCGTGGCAAGGCAACAATCATTTGTCATGATGCCGCAAACTTCGAAGTCATCAATGCAGGTAATGTAGGTTTCAAGGTAGTCAACATGCAATTTTCCAAGTCCAAAGGCTGCTACTGTGTCCGAGGAACTTTTGGTAAATTTTAAAGGGGTTTTCACTGTTGTTTCGAGTGTCGAGACCGCCCTTTTGCTCTTTGTATAGTATGAGGAGAATACATGCATCGTGGGCAGCCAACCAGATTGGCATTGATTTTTGGTTCAAAGGCTAAGCAGGGAGGACTCAAACGAAGCGATGTCAAAGAATTTAGGCCCTTTTTCCCAGGCAGCAAACGAAGGAATAATTAACAACAAAATACAAGGCAGGTAGTACACTTCGGATGAAACTGGGGCCGCCTACCTAGGCAGGAATCAGGCTTCCTGTCTACCTACACAGTTCTTCTAGAACAAGTCAACTGTCTCCATCGTATCCCACAATCAAACGCCAAAAGTGAGAATAGCTTCACCAAACCTACAAACAGATGCGATGGTATAAGCATGGAGGGTACAATGCCCACAGCAACTCTCGCTCCTTCCGTTTTCCATCGCTACAGACAGCCCCATCTCATCAAACGCCGCATCCGAGTTCCGAAAAAGAAGCACCGCCGCTACACTCGATCCAGAATATTGCCAAAACAGGAAAGTCACATTCTCGCGATAGCATCTCGAGATAGCACGCCTAGCATCAACATGTCTCGTTCCAGCTCTGGCAAGGTCAGCGCTTCCTCGGGTTCCACGGCCAACCTCAACCCGTCCGCTCAGCCCTTCACCCCCACGCGCGTCGATAGTTCTCCTACCAGTACTCCAGTTGATCACGGTATGTATATGCATATGCCAGCCAAATACGCACATCTCAATCCTCCTCCTCCTCACATGAGAGGCTTCATTCCCCCGCGATTTCACGTGCCAGCCCCACCCCCACCGTTTGGCCACGTCGATCAGCAACCCGGATCTTCACATGGACATGGTGCCATCCCACCATCTTCATCGCAACATAACGCTAACCCCCAAACCGCAGGCGATCTTGCCTACCACCAGGCCAAAGCCGTTGAGGCTGCAAACATGGCGGCAGCGCAAGGTATGCCTTATCCTGGGTACGATCCTACCCACCCTCCTCAGCCTCCATACCCGCCTCACCCATTCTACCGTCCTTCCCATTACGGCGCGCCTCATGCGGCTCATGCAGGCCCAATCCCTCCTTCTCATCCCGGTCTCAAATTCCGTCCTGACAGTAATCTAGGCTCTCGGCCTCCCGGCTACGGCCCTGACGATCATCGCTCTTCTCCAGTCGATCCAGCAGCAGCTGCTGCTGGCTATTCGACCTACAACCTGTACGCTCAATACTTTCAACACACCCCTCCCGGACGTTCTTCTACGCCTGGTTCGGCCGGTCTTTCGGCCGGTCCCTTCAACCCTACCACCCCGCCCAACCGGCACAGCAGACCCGGCCAAGCTGACCCCACCCCGCCAGCGCATACATTCTCCGATGATGGCGAGTTTTACCCCGGCACTGACCCACGCCTGAAGAACCACAACCGCGCGGCAAACTCTCAGTGAGGAAGTTGGGAAATAAGAGGGAGATCGTCGAGCTGGAGGTCGTACCGTTACTACGTTATCAGGCTGCGGATGGTTCCTTTCGTTATCTCAGATGTCGACAAGTGTTGCAGTGAAAAGGCGATGAAGTCACGTCATCGGATAGCAGAGATTCGCACTTGAGCTTCTTGTCTGTCAGGCGTCAACTATGATCAATGGTCAACTCTTGCTTTATGGCTTCTTCTCTTCTCACACGGTATGACAAAACATGGAAGGAACCTCATGGAAAATGTAGGGAGATGCTGCCAGCTTTGGGAACGGATATTGAAACTGCTGCGCATATTTTCGAGGAGTTTCCTCCATGCTGGGCAGCTTAGTGATCTCCCCAGCTCGTCAAAACTTCTGGAGCCTTCCCAACAATGACCCTTCCACAAGGCAAAGTCAAACTTCAGTTCTTACAGTTTAGACACATGAGGTAATGAGTAAACATTGAGCCTCATGCTAGTACCATATAGACTAAGAGTAGGCCATCCTAGAACCCTACCATTAACTGATGTCGTAATGCCAATTCGGTTGAGCTAAACTTCAATGACATCCAGCAGGCATCTAGTACACTTTTTTGATCCTTGGTACAAGAGCAATCTCTAATAACAGGAAATGGATGGACGAATTGGTCTTTTTCTTCATTTGGAGACAAACCTGACACAAATTTTACGCCTAAAGTAAACCAAATCCGCCAGTACTCAGATAGTGTGTCACCTGTCTTAGGCTTCAAACTCCTCACTTTCTGTAAGGAATGTATGTAAACGACAGTATGGGAAAGAGCCACCACAGAGTGGAAGCCGGCGCATGCCATAGGGGTGGTGGCAGTAGCATCTGATGAATACATGTGATCACGTGGTAGTATACGTCGGCGAGATTGGTGAAGTTAGGTACTTGAGGATGTTCTCCTTTCCTCTTTTCACCAAGTGACTTGAGGACCGTGGTCGAGGGGCTAAGGAGGCGCCAGTGGAATCCATTCTTACTCGGAAAACGTCAAACCAACGCTTAGTTTTTTGTTCGATTCCCTACGAAAGACCCTTCTTTTTCTTCATCTGCATCCCCCATCTCATCTCCTCCTGGCCATAGAATTGTGAATGGAACGTTTAGCCCTGATTCTACCTGGGACATGTCACAAACAAACTGGATTGTTGAGGTTTCAAATTTCCCGCCAGCCCATCTTTCTCATTCTAGCTATCGTTATAGCAATCGCCAACGTTTCAACGTTGAAGCTAGAAAAGACAAAGAGGATATTAGACCGGGAGGAGCACACTGCCTTGACCTGCACAGTGTGCTCTCCGTCAGATTCATCTCATCAAGCTCCAAGTGCAATCATTTTCTCATACAAGTTCACTTAGACACCTTCGCCCTCCCAAAGTCCAGCTTCTCCCACTTCATGAAACAGCCACTCAGAAAAGCCACAGCTCCCGCCGCCACAATCACAAATTGCATATCAGCAATTACACTCGCGACGTCTTGAACGGCAATCGCAACCACCCGACGATCTGCGGCCGTCCAAATCTTGGAGTCGAGACCAGCCAAAGCTTCCCGAATATCGTGATCGTTGTAATTAAGCCCCGAAAGCGACGCGTGGAGACGGTTGAAGCCGAGGTTCGAAAAGACACAACCAGCTAGAGCAAGTGTGACTGAGATACCGCCAAGCTGAACCATGATGAAGAGCGCGGTGACGTCGAGACGACGGTTCGCGGGTACGGCCTGCGTCATGATGGCAACTCCAGTCTGCCACATGCATCCGGTCCCGGCACCGATGAGGGTGCTGACTCCCATTACTCGGGCCTCGGAGGTTTGAGGTGTGATTTGAGTTTGAAGGCCGGCGCCGATCATTGCCAGGGCACCACCTGCCACGTAAAACGGGGCATATCGACCGATTACTGGTATCATGCCGGCCATGACGATTGTGAAGATGATGAAGGTGAAGATGAATGGAAGTATGCGGACGGCGGCATCGACTGGCTCGACTCCCTTTGTAAAGGCAAAGAACAATGGTGTGTAGTACAAAGCGATTCCGTAACAGCTGCCGGCAGCCATTGTTCCAAGGCCGACGAGGGCGATGGTTCGGCTCTTGAGGAGGTCTGCAGGAATCGCTCGGTGTTCTTTGCTAGTGAAAAAGCAGAAGTATTGCTGCGCAATATAGATGGCGTATATGACACCCACAAAGACCCAGGCCACGATCGCTGAGTGAGACGGCCACTCCCAAGTGGAACCGCTGAAGATGAGAGCTGAGCACAAAAGGATGAATCCGGCCATGTGCAGAACGATGCCGAACCAGTCGATGGCAAGGAGAGCGCCGATAAGAGGCGTGCTGACGCCAACCTCGATGGGAGGCAGAGCTACGAAGTTGAGGACGGCGATGACAGCAAGGATGGGCAGATTAAGATACATTGCCCATCTCCAAGTAGCACTTTGGTTCTCAGCAAAGGCTCCTCCGATTACGGGACCTAATGTCAGTCCAATTGCCCACGAGACAGCCATGATACCTTGGACACGAGGAAGCTCTGCTGGAGTCGTGAGAAGGACGTTGACCAGGATACAGCTATATCACGCCATCAGCTAATGCGAGCCCAGTGAACGAGGGAGTCTACACTTCACTTACAGCTGGTAGATTCCAGCTCCTCCAACTCCTGAAACTGCGCGACCGATAATGACGGAGTTCATGCCGGTGGCGGAACCAGATACGGCTGCACCAATGAGAAAGATCAAGGTGTAGGCAACTATCTGCAGCTTTACATGGCCCAAAAGGGCGAGCTTGCGAACGAGAGGAACCATGCAGACTTGGGTTGCCGTGTAACCCGTCGCAACCCATGGCAGGAGATGGACCTGGCCAAAGGCTTCGTAGATCGGTGGTTGGATATTCGCAATGTTACTGACATCGTATCCTACATGTTGACAGGAGAACTTAGCTAGTGTCTACAGGTTGTGTGGAATTGAAAGAAACGGGTGGCCTCACCAAGCAGCATGCCTCCAAGGAAGAAAGCTGACTGTATGCATGGCCAACGCCAGGCTGCCATGCCATCTCTGGGGTGTTTGTTCGGCAACACTCCATCGATGGCTTCCTTGGTCTCTGGAAGAACGCTGCCTGTGTATGAGCTCCCTCGCTCAACATCAGTCCCGGCTGTGGGCTTCGTGTCTGTCTCCATAGCTTCCTGGCAACCTTTTGTGATGTAAGGTAGGTGGGTATGGTCTTCTGAGCTTCGTGTAAGAGGGCCAAAGCCAAGCCGCAGAAGTAGACTGTGAGACACAAAGAACAAAGTTGCTGCAGTGTTTGATACAGGAGAGAAGATCAAAAGGCAATGGGGCAGTCTTCTGCATATATACAACGCACTCTTCCGTCGGAGAATTGGCATCTGCCTGGGCAAGGCAAGGACGTGCCGTATCTCTGCTTTGCTTCGGACGGGAATCGCGGCGCGCCACACCCACTCAATCCTTACCGCCCGCCCGTGTCCTGCTCTGCGCCCCAGCGGCATGCAGTTTGCTTCAGCCCGCCCCCGGGACGGGCCCCCAATGGTAGCCGAGTTCCAACGCCCAACGCATTGTTTCCCAGCATCAAAGTTACAGTGAAGTTCTGTTTAGGTTGAGTCACCAGGATGGACCACAAAAGCCGTGTGATGAGATCGAGCAAACAAGCCAAATGTGGCTGTACGTCCGAAACACAAACGGCGGCAACAGAGTTGGAACCAACGAAGACAATTTGACGTGCTCTCTCGATCCCGGTGCTGTGCCGCACTTTATTTTGCAACCAACAACGCAGCGATTTACCCATAGGCAAACACTCTTCTTCGATCGAGATGAGCGGTCGACAATGCTCAAGTAAAAAATCGGAAATGGCAGGACTCATAATTCGCCGTACAGCCTGATTTGGTAGTCGCAAAGAGCCCAACATGTCAACACCAATTAAGCCTCAAAAGAAGTTGATAAGCTCACGTCAGCCCCGCAATCCAATCTACTGGTACAATGTCCATCCATACTTTCAAAGTTTGACGTGTCGATAGGGCCACGGAAGGAACCTCGTAGAGCCGGTTGTGGTAAGATTGCCCTTCCTTAGCGGCCGCAACCCCCGGCTTCCGACCGCGTGCCCACCTTGGTTGGCCCGCTGTGCCGGCAGGAATCCATGCAGTGAGATGCAGCCAGGGATTTGTTGGCCCCCTCCGACTTCAACGGATTGTACGAGCCGCCAGTTTGTATCTGAGCTATTCCAAACTCGCTGATCGTCCCATGTCGGGCGGCTGAAAAGCCTTGGCGGGGGCAGAGTTGGACTGAGTTCCAACGGCAACACGGATACTCATCGTGTGAGTTGCTTAGGGTTACCTGCAGGTGCGAATTGCTCTATGGTGGGATTTAATCAAAAGCCTGTGAATTCGAAAACCAATGATATGCTCTTGTTGTCCTCGCTTCGCCTCTATCAGCTTATGTCAAATTTGCCCAATCTCGACCTTCTTGGGGAGTCAGTAGGACAGGATTATCAGTTGGAGGAGCAAGGATGATACAAGGTAGGATACAAAGGAATTCTTGGACCCCAACAGCTCCGAGCCTAATCGGACGCAGTTACGGTTTAAACGAAACATTGACTTTACGACCTCAAGTCCAGTCCTCGAATCTGAAAGTTGAGGTCAGCCACAATGTCTCTTTCTCTCTACCTGACCGAAAGCAAACAAAGCCAATGAGGCAGGGTACATGTACGTAACAAAGCCTCCAGCGCCGCGAAGACATCGGCGCAAGAACCCCACTTTCGTCTAAGCTTCCGCGTCCCGCTCCATCATCCGGTGTTGTAGGATCTCCAAACCCAAACTACTCCGTACCTCACTCACACAAAGCGAGCCCGACAAAAATCACGACAAAGAGTCGATTGAAGCTACAACCTTTGCTCCACGAACAGCAAAAGAGGAATCAAAAGGTTTCGTGCCCAGAGGCGGATTCGAACCGCCGTCAACACGGATCGCTGTATAGAAGAACCACAACGTATCATC